ACCAAACTCCTCTCTTTATACTTAAGCCAAATGTTGGGAAAATTATGAGGGTGACGCGGTGAAAACGTGGCCTTTTTGGCTCTTAACATTTGATTGCAATTTAGCTAGTTGTGGATGACTAAGCATGCTCTAATCTTGCCACGTTTCATGATCAAATGTGAGGAGGAAATATTTTCCCAACTTAGAAGAAAGCTTGCGGAAGTGGGAAAATTTGGAATAATAAATCATGGCTTATGGACTTAATTCTCACGGTTTGGAAATAACATTGCGATAAGTTGCTTAATCAATCACTAAAATATGTTTAATTATTCAATTAAACATAATGCTTAATTACCAAAATTATTCCGGACGTAAACGTTACGTCGAAAATAATTTTCGGTAATCTCGACTGAAAGTAATTAATTCCGAAAATAATAATTGACAACGTTATTATATCGAAACTAAAAACATAATTTATACCGATAAAATATCGGGATATTACAGCGATTCCCCAAAATCTAAAGCCATTTTGCTTCTTTTAGATCAATTTCACATGTTCTTCGGTAATTAACGCAAGATATTGGTCCCATGTGTTCGTGATTGACGCCAGTTGTTCGTGATTTTTGTGTACCGACAACAATGGGAAAAAACAAGTAGACCCTAATTTTGAATTCTTTAATCTCATGTGTCGACATTTGCTGTATTTTTTTAAAATATTATTGGGGTCTACTTGTGAAGGCATTCCTTTCGGTCGTGAAACTTCGAACCGCCACCGCTGCGAGTACTTTCGCTTGGGTGGAAAGAGAACGACATTATGACGAGGTATGGGGGATGAACAACTCAATTAAGTTTGTAATTGGGAATGAGAAGCTCGGAAATTGGAAGAGAAGCTTGAGAATTGGGCGAGGAGCTCGTGAGCTGGGCGATTAGGGTTTAATTTGGGGAAGATTGAGTGTCAATATTACTGAATAATAAATTTATATACATTCAATTATTAATTTGACAAGTTTACCCTTTTTTGTGTGTGTGTGTGACAGTGCGGCATTGTTTTCCCGGACATGTAGGCACGTAGGTCACTGTCGATCAACTTTGGGTTCGGGTTGCCAAAATTAAAAAAAAGTTGCGATTTATTTGAAATTACCTTAAAGTTGAGATTAAATTGAAAAAAGCGTAAAGGTCGTGGTTTTATTTGCAATTAAGCCTTATTTTAAATGCTGTTTTATTTAGTATGGGTCTTTGCAGAGCATAATGGTTTGCTCACACCCCCATTGTGTTTTTCAGGAGAAGGAGTCGAGCGTGTCGGATGAGCATAGGCGTGGCAAAGCGTGGTCATGAGAATCTTGGACATTTTTACGCACATTTTATGTCCCAGTATTTATGATCATGTATTATTCAGATATGTATGCATGTATTTTTTGTATTTCGGATGCTTCCGCTAGCAGACTAGACAGTGCGAGACATTTCAGACATTGCATGTTTAATTCCATTATCCATAGCGGATAGTTTGGTTGCGTGTTTTGTATATGTCTGTGAGCAAGTTAAGTAAGTTATTATCTATGACATCCCGCAATCAGTTAGTATTTTCGAAAACCAAGCTCGCACGACCTTTCGAAAATAAAAGCGAAAATTTTACTCTAATTTTTCAAAGCTAGTAAGGCGGCGTGTCACAAAAGTTGGTATCAGAGCGCAAAGTGCGTTTCTGTATACTTTCAAATTTAGAAAAGCATGACCACGCCTCGCTCATCCCGCACCGACTCCGAGGTAAGTCACCCAAGCCAAGTTTAAGTTTTTGCAAGTGCTAAATTCAGTTCAAGTATGAGGCCTAAATGACTATCCTCCTGTAAGACAGATAACTCTAGAGACAGAACTCTAGACAGAACTCTAGAACAACTAAGTCCAAGGACTCTAGACTAAGTCAGAACTCCATTTTGAGCCAGAACATAGAAAGTTTAAGTATACCGGAACTCTAGCCAAGCTAGGTGTTTTCTGATTTTATTGTTTACTATGTCCAGTCTAGTATGGCTATTTCTTAATTGGCTATACTGATCAGCTTCCGGGAGGTGACGCTACATTTATCCGAGGGAGACCGCATCACGTTCTTCGAGACTAAGTCTCGAACTCTACCGCGCGTTATTTCTATGGCGAAAGCGACGAAGTACATGCAGAGAGAGGATTGTCAGGGATTTCTTGTCAACATTGTTGGGGAATCTTCGGAGAAGCTGTCTCCCAGAGATATACCCATTGTTCGTGAGTTTGTGGATGTTTTTCCCGATAAGCTTTCGGGGGGACCACCTAACCGCCAGGTGGAGTTCACAATCGACTTAGTCTCTGGAGCGGGACCAGTGTCAAAAGTGCCGTATCGCATGGCACCGAAAGAGCTTCAAGAGTTGAAGGCTCAGATTCAGGAGCTGTTGAGTCTTGGTTTCATCCAACTGAGCGTTTCACCTTGGGGAGCACCTGTCCTCTTTGTCAAGAAGAAGGATGGGTCTATGCGTATGTGCATCAACTACCGGGATCTGAACTGGTTGACAGTGAAGAACAAGTATCCGCTTCCCAGAATTGAGGATTTATTCGATCAGTTGAGGGGATCCAGTGTGTTTTCCAAGATATCTCTCCACTCTGGTTACCATCAGCTAAAAAACAGAGAGGCCGACGTGGACAAGACCGCTTTCCGAACTAGATACAGTTATTATGAGTTTGTTGTGATGCCGTTTGGTTTGAGCAATGCGCCAGCAGTATTCATGGATCTCATGAACCGTGTCTTCCATCCATTCTTGGACCAATTTTTCATTGTCTTCATTGATGACATTTTGGTCTATTCAAGTAGCCCGGAGCAGCATGAAGAGCACTTGAGAACCGTTTTGGAGACTCTTCGGCGTGAGAAGTTATACGCCAAGTTCTCAAAGTGTGAATTTTGGCTCGATCGAGTGGCTTTCCTAGGCCACATCGCCACATCCAGAGGAATTGAGGTAGACCCAAGCAAGATTGAAGCAGTTCAAAACTGGTCGACACCGAGGAGTGCCACTGAGGTTCGAAGTTTTTCTCGATTTAGCAGGATATTATAGACGTTTCATCGAGCTTGAAGAGGAAATCAGTGAAGTTTGAGTGGGATAGCAGTTGTGAGTCGATCTTCTAGGAGCTCAAAGCGAGACTTACGACGACACCCGTGTTGACTATTCCCGACCCCACAAAAGGTTTACTATCTATAGTGACGCCTCGAAGCAGGGTTTAGGCTGTGTTTGATGCAATACGGCAGGGTTGTGGCTTATGCTTCCCGTCAGCTAAAGCCGCACGAGGTGAACTACGCGACTCACGATCTTGAGTTGGCAGCAGTGGTTCACGCCCTGAAGATTTGGAGGCATTATCTGTACGGAGGACACTGCGAGATTTATACAGATCACAAGAGCTTACAGTATATCTTCACCCAGAAAGAGCTCAATATGCGCCAACGGCGATGGTTGGAGCTGGTGAAAGATTATGACTGTACCATTAACTATCATCCGGGCAAGGCAAACATTGTTGTCGACGCCCTCAGCCGTAAGGAAAGGGGCGAACTGACTTGTATGATCACTCAGCAGTGTCAGTTGATTCATGAGTTCGCTCGGATGCAGCTAGAAGTGGTCGAATCACCTCCTAAGTTGCCAGTTGTGGGAGGTATTCGAGCGTTGAGAATGTGGCCCACGCTACTAGATAGGATCCGGAGGGATCAAGCCTTCGACGAGTTCGTTCGCTCGATGGGGGCGAAGATTAATGCCGGAGGAGTAGAGGGCTTTTATCGAGGCACAGATGGTGCCCTGGAGTATAAAGAAAAGATCGTTGTGCCAAATGTCGAGGACCTAAAGAAAGAGATCTTGACAGAGGCGCATACTGCTCCATACTTGGCGCAACCCAGTAGCACCAAGATGTATCACGACCTAAAAGGTCATTTTGGTGGAAGGGGATGAAGCGAGACGTCACCGAGTTTGGTGAGAAGTGTCTGATTTGCCAGCAAGTGAAGGCTGAACACAAGGTTCCACCGAGTCTCTTATAGCCTTTAGAGATTCCGCAGTGGAAGTGGGAGAAGCTGACCATGGACTTTGTCACGAGATTACCGATGTCGGCCAAGCGCCGCGACGCGGTATGGGTAGTAGTAGATCGACTGACGAAGTCGGCCCACTTTATGCCTGTCAGGATGGACATGTCCATAGAGCAGCTAGCCGAGACATATCTCCAGGGAATCATTCGACTTCATGGCGTTCCTGCCGAGATTATATCAAATAGAGATCCCCGATTTACTGGCCATTTTTGGGAGAGTCTTAACGAGTCCATGGGGATGAAGTGGAAGTTTAGCTCCACTTACCATCCGCAAACCGACATTCAGTCGGAACAAACCATTCAGACGCTTGAGGACATGTTTCGAGCTTGTGTTCTAGAGCGTGGTGGTTCGTGGTAGGAGTTGTTAACCACTATGGAGTTTGCCTACAACAACAGCTATCACTCGTCGATCAAGATGGCACCGCTCGAAGCCTTACACGGTCGCAAATACAGCTCACCCCTTTATTGGGATGAAGTTGACGAGAAACATGTTCTCGATCCCAAGTTGATCAAGGATACGGTGCAGAAGGTAGCCAAGATCCGAGCGAAGCTAAGAGAGGCACAGAGCCGACAGAAGGCCTACGCTAACAAGCGTAGAAGGGAGCTTGAGTTCGAAGAGGGAGACAAAGTGTTTCTGAAGGTCACGCCGATGAAAGGCGTTGTACGATTCCGGAAAAAGTGGAAGCTACAACCCCGATTCATAGGGCCATTAAATATTCTCAAACGAGTTGGTGTAACAGCCTACCGTCTGGCGTTACCCCCAGATCTCTGGGATGTACACAACGTCTTCTATGTGTCGATGTTGAGAAAGTATGTGTACGACCTGAGCCATGTAGTTAACTTTGACGAGCTAGAGGTCGGGCAGAACCTGACGTATGATGAGAAACTGGTAGCAGTTCTGGATCGAAAGGTCCGTCGGCTGAGGAACAGAGATATAGAGCTTGTCAAAGTTTGCTGGAGTCGCGACGACGAGTCGGAAGCCACTTAGGAGAGAGAGGCCGAGATCAGATCTCGTTATCCCGATTTTGAGTTTTGAGATTTTCAGATGGTATATATATCTATGTTCAAGTCAAATGGTTAGTGGTTTACAGATTGTCGTCGGGGAGAGCTTTGAAACCACCATCCACTGAAAGTTAAGAAGACAGTCATTTTATAAATGACAACTAGAACTCAATGAAAGTATTATGATGTTTTAGTTATGCATTGTGGGTTAAGCAATACAACAGATAAAGTTGCAAATAAATCAAGCACACTGTTGAGGATATTATTATTGTTAAGAAGCTAGTACAGAAACATCAGATGCAAACTAGTAGTAATGAATCCTCAATAAAATACATAAAGGGATGGTGCGTCTCAAGAGTAAAAGACCCTTTAACTCTGCCACCCATAATACATAACAGGATTTATAAAGCTAAATGCGTTGGGTCAAAAGCTCGTTTTCGCTTAACTCCTTGAGTTTTCACATAATCTTGAGAAGTGATGTTTTCTTGAAGTTTCTTGATAAATCCAGCAGCAGTATCTGCACATTTGTAGATCTCTCTAGTAGAATCAGATATAAAAGTCTGAAATACACTTTCATCAAGAAAACCAAGAAAGCCATTGAAGAGGTGATGGGAATTTAATAGACCAATGGGCTTATTATGAAATTTCATGTCTGCCCAAGAAGCAATAGTAAACATGGTCATTAAAGTCCCATACCCACCAGGAAGTATGATGAAAGCATCACTATGGTTTAGCATAAACATAGTGCAATCATAAATAGAGTTAGATAGCATCAGACTGGCAGATTCTTTGATAACTTTAATAGGAGCTCTGAGAAATGATAGAACACTTTTCATATCGATATCAAAGCATTTTCCAGCTAAGAGCAGACTATCAAAGAAAGTGAAGCTAGTTTCTTCATACAGTATATTGATCTTGTGCTTTCCCAATTCTCTTACTAGTTGGGATACAATGTCAATATTTTGAGGAGAAGCTACAAGTTTAGGATCACCAAGAACACATATGGTTTTTATAGGTTGAAGAACCCTAGTAACTTGAGAAGATTCAGAACTCTCCATTTGGTGTGAAGAGATACTTGATCGTGAGAATGACCGGTGATGGGTCTCCTCTCAAATCTGGCGTGAACTGGTGGAAAACCGCCCAGATCCAGAATGAACTGATGGGAATGAGCTCAGATCTGACTCGATAGCCTCCAAACCGTTGTTAAACCACAAGAAAACCTGCAAGAACTCCACGCCGGAGGGGTTTCCGGCGTAGAGCCTCCGACGCTCAACTCAGTGTGTGAGAGAGAAGAGGAGAGCTACTCTGAAAGAGCAGCAGCAGTAATGGAGGAGAGTATGGAATGAATGGGAGTTAGGGTTTAGGGGTTACCTCAGCTCCTTTATATAGGAGCAAGACATTTACCTGGAGTCCCCAAAATGCCCTGGCCGACTTACTGGAGATGTCCAAAATACCCTGGTCGGTTCGCATTCTGTCCCTCTCCTAGTCAGCATTCAGATTCCCTCTTATCCTTAACATCGACTAAAAAAAAAGAAGAGGGGCCTCTGTATCAAGTGTACCAAATCGACAAAGGTCTATAAGCCTCAGGACTCCCTAAGTCGATTCGGGATACTAACTCGAGTCGATGGGGTCGTCTTTAGTCGTCGGTAGGCCCTGACGTGTTCAACCTTTTTCCGAGGACATTGTGTTGGTGTTATATACTTAAGCTTTGCTTTAGTGGATATTACACTTGTTATTTCTTGATGAATGAGAATTATGTTTGGTTAAATAAGTTCCACGTTCTGTTGTTTTGCATGTAGATAAGTGGGTTGTCATCGGGCGTACCGAAGATCACTATATCAGTTACTTGAGAAACAAGAATCATTGGTTCACAACCTAGATGGAATTGAACAACCCATCGGAACGGTTATAGTGTCAACCGTATGGTTTGTCTTGACCGATTAGTTGCACTAGTACATTTATGTATTGAACAGGATCCCAGAGAGGGATGTTGGTTTTATACTGATCGTCGTAAACGAGCTAGGCCTCAGTTAATTATTGCATGCTCTTAACCCGTAAGA